CGATATTTCTAACTTGTACTGTTCAATAGTTATAAGACTTTTCTAGAGGTTCTCGAATTTGGCTATGTGATCTTGGATCACCCAAAAATAGGTTCAGAAAGGAATGATCGATCATGCTGAGTCGAGTAATGATGTTTGCTTACATTTTGAGAAACATGGTACTAGATTTCTCTTAAACTGAAAACAAACATCATTACTCGACTCGGCATCATCGATCATTCCTTTCTGGACCTATTTTCTGGTGAATCAGGATCAAGTAGACAAAATTGAAAACCTCTAGAAAATTCTTATAACTCGATTTTCTAAAGATCCTACTGAAAATCATCTAGAAATCAGATTGAAAATTTTTTTTTATTTATGTTCGACATGCTCTAGACTTGACTACAAGTGGGCGAAAAACGTTTCTCGATATCCCTTTGTCTTGCATAGTTATTCAAAAAGATGCAGGATATTTTATTTTTTTCAATCCTATAATAAACAAAGTTCTAACTTTTCGAAAAAAATCAATTAATTGAGATGGGTCTTTTATAGCGTCTGGTGCATCTTTCCTTCAAAGAGACTCTTCTATTGCGAGGAAAGATTTACATTCAATTAGGAATTATTTTCTATTTACATATAAAATAATTTTATCGAGATTGAAAATATCTGAAATATACTTTATTTATTTAAAATTCTTTTCTTACTTGTCTAATAATAAATTCATTGATATGTTCACTTCCAGTTTTAAATGCTAAACAATAATCTTTATTTGGATCTTTTTTTAAACATTGATAAAGATGATGAAGTTGATTATGTAATTTTAAAAAACGTGTTTTTTGAATTTCAATTTGATTTTCCAACTAAATAAAATTTTAAATAGAAAAGATTCAACGAAATCAAAAAAGAAAACAAAACAATACGACTAACTTGATGTATTATTGATTCGATTTCATTAAGACAATCAGCAGTAAGACAACGATCAAATTGTTCAAGAAGAAGATATTGAACAGTTGATTTAGGTGAAGATGGTGTCCATTCTAATTGTTCAGAATATTCTTTTAATTTTAAATAATATGTTGATACTTGAATTAAACGTAGATTCTAAGAAAAATTATTTATTTGAAAACAAAAAAACAAATGTAAAATTTTAGTTCATTACTAACTTTTAAGTCACTAAGCATTTTAACATGATCTTGCATTTTTTTATTGATTTCTACAAGTGAAATTGAAAGATCTGAAAGAAAATTTTGAAATAAAAATTAAGAAAAAACAAAATCATAGATCACTCACTTTGATCAAATTCAATGGATGCAGTATTAAGTAATGTACATAAATATTTTTCTTGATTTTCAAGTTCATCTCGTCGATGAATTAATTGTCCTTCATGAATTAATAATTCTTGCATTTCTCGTTCAATATATATTTCTTGTTCTTTTAATTTTAATCCATCAAATACTGAAGTCTACATACAAAAAACAAAATCGAACAAAAAAAATAAAGGAAAAACAAAAATTAAATTTATTTTTTACGTCTATGGAAGATGAAAGTCCAGTACGTTCAAGTAAATCTTTATAATCATCAAGTAATTGTTTTATTAATTGTCGTCGTTTTATTAATTGTTCTTTATATATTAATATTTTATTATCAAGTAATTTCTAAAAGAAAAAGATCTATCAGCAAAGATTTTGAAAAATTTAAATTGAATATTACTTGAGTATATTCTTCAACTTTTACAGCACGTGATAACCATTGATATTCATTAAAACCAAATGAAGACCATAAACGAAACCAATTAGAACATGTTGTTGCACGATCAAGTACGAAAGAATCTTTATTATTCATTAATGAAAGATTTTTACTAAATATAAAACAATATGAAAAATAATAAGCATATGAAAAAAAAATCATACATACAATTGAATTTCTAATGTTTGAAAAACTGATTTTTTTCTTTGGTTGAAGCATTTTGATTTATGAATTATTAAAACAAACGAGTAAAAAATAGTTATTAGCGGATCTTTGTTTTTAATAACCAACGGTATCACTATAGAGAGATTCCATTATACAATACTGACATCTATGAAACTCTCATATCAGTTTTATCTCAAAGATCGTGAAAATAATTATCGATCTAAAACAACTGCTGAATATTAAAGTGTTGAAATTGATTGATGATATAGAAGTAAATTTTTTCTAAAGATTAACTGAAAGCTCACCTAGTTTGTCACAGAAACTTTTGTGTACTTCGGTATCTTAGAATAATTTACAGGCTTTTAGCATTTGACTACAAAATGCTTTTAAATATTCAATCTACTAATAATTTGTTGAAAAATGTTTCATAGAATAGTACAGAAACTAGGCAGGTATCTGGTAAGTACCCATGTATTGAGACAATTCTCAGCAAAATATCCAAACAAGATCCTACACTGTACTCAAAAAAGTATTCTCATGTCAGCTGATCCAATACTTGGATATCTTGAATTCAGTACATCCACTAGAATTAGCGTATAGTTGAATGTACTTTTTGAATACCTTTAGATGATCATTGAAGTTTTGTCTTGAACTTAACGACAGTATACGATACTATTGCTTGGCATTCTATATAACTTTCTGAATACTTTTTCAATCGTACACTATACGTTGAAAAAGGATTTATGATAGATGAGAGAAATAGTTCGACTTGAGTTCATTTAATGTGATGGGTATATATCGGGTGGTTCATAAATAATCGATTACATAGTATTTTTATTATATTTTAATTCAATACCATTGTCAAAACTTTGATTTTTACTGCATCGGATGCGCCATGAAATTCTCTACAAAAAGGCATATTTTAATTCGTTTAAGTTATCTAGATTACAATTGAAGTACTCAATATACTTGTTTACTTAAAAACTGTACACTTTGCACTAGTGTGAAATCGAGTATTTTAACTCAATTGTTCACAATTTGGAGAAAATTGTTTTGGATTTAAAAAAATAAGCTATCGATTCACTATCTGAAGCTGTAGTATTGTAGTCGAAAGAACTTTTTACAAGTTCATACATGAAACAGGCTGATACGACTTATTTCTAGGCAATTTTAGAGACTCTACGAAACGCTTATAAATTTCGTCAAGATTCTGGTTTCAAAACTCATGAATTGCACTGACGCGATAGAATTTATCTTTTCTATTCCTGAGGAATAAATCATGTCAACCTTTTTTATATATGAACTTGTAAAAACTTCTTTGGACTACAATACCACTGCTTCATATAGTAAATTGACGGCTTATTTTTTTTAAATCCAAAACAATTTTCTCCAAATTGTGAACAATTGAGTTAAAATACTCGATTTCACACTAGTGCAAAGTGTACAGTTTTTAAGTAAACAAGTATATTGAGTACTTCAATTGTAATCTAGATAACTTAAACGAATTAAAATATGCCTTTTTGTAGAGAATTTCATGGCGCATCTGATGCAGTAAAAATCAAAGTTTTGACAATGGTATTGAATTAAAATATAATAAAAATACTATGTAATCGATTATTTATGAACCACCCGATATATACTAAGGTGAGAAAAAGTACTATATTTCGTTAAAAACAAAATTTTATTAAATGTGCTAGAAAAAATATACTAAATTGTTTATGTAAAAACAAACTGAGTGCTGATACATTCGTTAGCAATTTACAGATGTTAACATTCAAATAATTATGCAAGAGACATTCTCGATATATGTATATTGACGATGAAAAGTTATAGATTCTAGAGCTACATAGCCGTTGAAAATTTACATGTATCAGTCTGAATTAGCTCTCAAAAAGTTATAGATAACTTGAAATTCATTAGTTGTTATCAAAAGAACTATTTCAACAGTTCATTTGATTGAAACTAATAAGGTAGAGTTGATCGACTCGTGATCTTTATTGTACTTGTTTGAGTCAGTCTATAATGTATGATTCACTGTATCTTTATTTCAGCATGATAAGTATTTTTTGTTAAAGTCTGCTGTAAAAGAGAATACTATTCATGCGAATATAATTAATTTTTCTTTGAATCAATACAATCGTGAACAATATTTCATTACTATTACATTTTGGTTGAATTTAATTGTCAATATTAATATTTTTTTTATCGATACATAAAAATCTCACGACTTTAATTGACTGTATATGTTATATTGATGTTGTATACTTTATGCATTTGCAATAAAAATCTTATCGATACTTTATTCTCAGTTGAGACTTCTTTGCGGAACAGTTTACGAAAATTAATGATGTTCTCTTTTACCATGTGTTTAAGTTTCTCTCTCATATAATTTTTATCACTAGGTGTAATTCACCATTCTTTTTCATAACATTATCACGGTGTGACGTCTGTATTTTTTCTACTTTGCTTTTTCTGTACTCTAATGACACATTATTTTTCATAGACGATTTATTTTGTCATGCATGAGAAGCTAAAGAAAACATTAATATGTAATTTGTTTACAGTCCCTATTTGTCAAAAATATACTGAAGTGAATTTTTCTTTTGCGTAAGATAACGAACGTACGTATCATATAGACAACAGGGAAACGACCCAGTCATTATGTAAGTATGATTGTATCTTAATTAATGTCGAAGAGGAATTATCATTCGATTCTATTGTCTTGATATTGTGTATTTATTTGTGTCGAGTTCAAGAAAAAGGATATTTTCATATACGTACAGTGCACACCAATATTCATGTACTGTTAATGAATTAGGTTATGTTGTAAGAAAAGTCACAATAAAAAGCACTTTTAATTTTTCATTGCCTTCTAAAGCTAAAGTAGGTGAGTTAAAAAAACCGAATAATTTATCTCAATATTTTTCCTAGAGACACTTTAAATATTGACAAATATAAATTAAGACTTTTAGTAACTAAATAAAAATTAAATAATTTTGTATTAATATATAAAAAATTTTAAATTATTGCATAATGCGGCTTATTCATTTTTCATAAACAATGAATATAAAAATGATCTAAACATCATTTCATGTATTGTTATTTTAGAAATGGCTAAACAATCCGAAAGACATCCTTCATGCCAATTCCGAACAGGTACAATATAAAATTTGTCTATTGAATAAAATAATTTTTCATATTCATCTGTGTGTCTCTTAGACAAATCATGGCTCGTTCTTCAATATAATTCAAATGGAAAGATCATGATTCCTCATGAACTCGAAAAATATATGATAGATCCACCCGAAAATATCGATAGTACTATATTGGATCGTATTCATGGTTCGATGATTGGAATGGCTTTAGGTGATGCCCTAGGTGCTTATGTAGAATTTCGATCTCATCAATATCTGCTTAAAAATCCGGTAACCGATCTCCAAGCAGGTGGTACTTGGGGTCTCAATAAAGGAGAGGTATTTTCCATTCATATGAATATGTTGTCTTTATTCAGTTAGAAAATGCTATAGTTTAGATGAGATCTGAAGAATCAGTTCCATAGCTATAAATCTCGGTATGATTATTTCTAAACTTCTTGTCAGCAATGTGCTCACTCGATGAAACTCATTCTTAGATCGAAAAAAGAAATTTGTGTTCATTTTTTTCTAATTCTACAGTTAAATAAATGAATTTCTCATGTTAGAAGTACTGTATAGTCTGCAGAAGAGGAGTAGAATATGAAATTGTATAGCTGTCTAGAAAAATGAATTTTATTTCTATGTTTTGTGAATAATATTCATGATCAGAGTAATTCTCATATTTGTATTTCCATAGTTTTCGAGATATGTATGCTTTAGTTCACTGACGATACCTCTATGGCTCTTTGTCTTGCAAATTCATTGGTAGCTAGATGCAATTATGTTCCTTACGATCAAATGGTTCGTTACAAGTGGTGGTATCGAAAAGGTTACATGTCCTCTATAGGTTACTGTTTTGATATGGGTTCGGCCACGAAACAAGCTTTGACAAAATTTGAATCTCGTCAAAAGGCATTTGCGGAAAAGCACGACATTCCTCTTAATCAATTAGATTATCTTTCAGATCCTACACTTTTGAATAAGTTCGACGTGTATTGCAGTGAAGAAGGTGTAGCTGGCAATGGGGCACTAATGCGGCTAGCTCCTGTGCCGCTATTCTTTTATCGATACCCTGTTAAAGCTATCGAGTTTTCTGGACACAGTGGACGCATTACTCATGGTGATCAAAAAGCCTATGATGCTTGTCGCTACTATGGTGCTCTGATTGTGGCTGCTCTTCGTGGTGAAAAGAAAAGACAGTTACTCGACAATAACTTTTATTCAAAACACGAGAGATGGTTCGATAATAAACCTCTCCATCCGGATATTCTAGCAATTGCAAAGGGATCTTATAAGAAAGACGGATATGATGAAGGCATTCGAGGTAATGGTTACATCGTCAATGCTCTTGAAGCTGCTTTATGGGCATTTTGGTCCGACAAAGAAGATTTCGAAAAAGGTGTTCTCGCTGCTGTGAATCTAGGTGACGATACTGATACAACAGCAGCCATTTATGGTCAATTAGCTGGTGCCTACTATGGTTATAAAAACTTACCCAAACATTGGGTAGAACAAGTGTATGCCAAAACATTTATTTCAAGTTTGAGTAAATGGATCGCTTATGAAGGACCGAAATGGTCATCAGAAGAACCGACCACGTCAGCTATACCTTCTGTGATTGTCGAATCATCGTTTGACGATGGTAATCAGTCATCTGTTGAACAGACGACAAGTTCAAGTGCGCAGTCATCTGTTGAACAGACGACAAGTTCAAGTGCGCAGTCACAAGTAAGAAGAAATCGAAAGGATGAACCGAATTGGTCGACAGAAAAGTTAAATGCAGAATCAGATTCATCTTTAAAGTTTAAACAATTGGACAACATTAATGTAGATTGTAGACCACGGCGAAGTTTTCTTCTCGACCTGGATTTTTCTATGAAAATCAATTCACCTAGGCGATCTGTATCGTCTCATACCTTAATATCACCACGCGACGATCCTACGTCATCATCTGAACGTAAGAGCTTTAAATTTTCAACTGACAGTATTGAATGAGCATTCGAAGGGAAAATATTATCTAACATGATTTTAAGCTGCCCTTCTGAATGGTATCTTTAGGATCTTTTCATATTATTATCTTTTTTTTTTATAGAGCTTTATAATCACGAAACTTATAAATCTTGCCAAGATGTCTGTCGGTGGATCCAATCCTTCGGCAAGGAATATACAAAGTATGCGAAAGTCTTTCAGAAGTACGATATCGATGGATATTGGCTTTTAAATCAAATTAATGATAGAAAACTTGCTGAATACGGAATTCAATCTTCAGCTCATCGACAATTTATCATGAATCGTATTGAACAGTTAAAAAAAGAATGTCCAGTGCACTTTGCAGTCAAAAAAAAATAAGAAACTCTCTTATGTTCTTTGTCTTTATCTAAATATTTATATCTGATATATGACTCTATAAGACGCTAATGATTAATATAAATATAATGAATTTGAAAGTTTTACAGCTGATGCATTGGAATGTACTTTTGTAAACTATTCAAATAAAAAACAAATAAACTTGCATATTGCTTTTTGCTTTGAGAATATCCAATAGTAAGATAATTTTGAAAAGCCTAAGTTCGTAAAAAAATTATATAAAAATCAGTAACGATTATAACCAGATTATGCTGCAGGTATGTAGTTTTTCTAAACACTAGTCTTTCGTCATGAATACCATATAAAAGCCATTAATGAGTTTGAATTATCATCATGCAAAATTAATAACAACAGAACTACATTTGTTCATAATAGTACCGGGTAATTGAGCATTTCTTTGATAGTCTTTGAGGATGATAAATCAACTTTTTTTAAATTTGGGAAAAATGTCAGTTGTATATGATAGATGCAGCTGCATTTAAATGCCGAAATTGATTTTGGACAAATTACAACGAATTTTTTTTCAAAGAATTGGAGAATAGGTGTTTCTTTTTTCTTTTAACTCAAAACCGATGATTTCTTTTTTAATACTACTTCAGTATCTCCAGTGATATTAATTTAATTTTCAATGATCTCAAATGGGGAAAATATGTTTTTTCAATGAAATATCCTTGAAGAAAACTGTTGTTCAACATCAACATGTAGACTTTTTTTCCTCCCTAAATATACGATGAAGATTCCAAAGATGAAATTGTCTTCCTATAGAATGTTTCTTCGTCTAACAATAATGGATTTCACCTGAAAAATCAAAGATTTTCTATGAAGTCTATAGCTCAGCCCTTGAATATTCACGGTAATATTATATTAATATTATGGAGAGAAGAATATTTTGTGAAAATTTCACTTATACATATTTGGCAAACACAACATGAAAATAAAATTATTTTTTTCTCTACGTTAAATAAATAACAGTAAAACATTTTTCTATAATATCAATAGACTGAAAGATGAGTTAAACATTATCTATCGTTTCCTTAAGCATGCTTGTTATGTTAGATAAAAAGAACTTCCATTCATTACAAACCACGTTTATCGAGTCATTATGACATTAAAAACAAGAAGTTTTATAACACCAAATAGTCTGTATATAAACATGTAGGTTGCCTTCTTTCGATTATTAAATAGTATATTTGCAATGTTTTACCTAATGTCGATCGGGATGCCTACTGCACGTAGTCTAATGATAATGAAAAAATGATCATTCTGTCGTAAATACTAGTATTTTGAGTCTAAACAAACCAAAACAAGATGGAAATTCTACGAAACGACTCAAATCGTTGCAATAAAAACTTAATACATTCCCGACTTCGCTACAAATATCATTCTAATCGACATCGAACTTGTTCACACGATGATTATTTTTGGAATAATGAAAATGTTTCAACTAGAAGATAGACAACAATGGAACCAATGAAAGCATTTAACTTTACATTAGTCCCGAACCAAAACATTCCATTCAATGAATTAAAGGCAAACATAATTGGCAATGACAAGATGAGAATAACCAGAGAGAATATACTTACTCAATTGAGTAAAAAGAACAAGAACGGTATTTTTGGTAATATGGATAAACTGTTTAATGTTGCACTTTTATTAGCTAGAGATATATATTCAATTTGACCATTATCGCGTGCAATAGGTAGAAGACTCGATATGATCATCGTACGATTTTGACTAAGAAAAAGAACACTAGTAAATTCAGCTCGAAATCGTGTCATATAATCGGAAAATTTGATCATGCATGTACAATCGAGTAATGATAGAAACAATTAGAAGAAAAAAACACTATAATATTGGTCAAAAACGAATCTTGTATGACACAAAAAACATATGAATAACAAACATGGTAGCATGCCATTTCAGTCTTCCGAGTGCGTTAAAATGATTTCAGACAGTTCAAAAAAAAATGCCGTTCATATCTATCCAAGATGATAGACATACTAAAGTTAGAAACGGATAGTTGAGTTTTCGTCGTCTATTAAACATAGTTTGGGTCTTAAAATATAAGTAGCATTGTACGTTCATTTTCATTTTGTCGTAAGTCGTGACGAAACAAAAAATAAGTCATGATATGGACGAGTAGTGACGTAAGAAAAAAACAAAAGAAAAGGTTTATAATTAGCTGTATAGTGAATTTAACTACGTTTCTTAGGTATTATGAGTCATATAGAGCATGAAATCAAAACGAACACAACGACTGTAAAATTATAGATTACAATACGATGCGTTCTTTTCATTAATACGTAGTTTCAATTCAATAATTCGTTAGAAAATAAGATATATGTGGTACTGTATCATTTCAATGAATATTTCATCTTAATGTTTAAATATGTATGTACTAATAAATGACAATTTTTTAAAAGTTTTCAAATTAACGTCTTATATCTCAAAAACTATAATATCAAGTTTGGGCAAGTATTGAAAATTATTGTTTTATTGTTTTCGTATTTTGAAAATCATTTTACTAATATAATTAGACAAAATATGACTGAATCAAATGAACATTAATACATGAACAATTACTGTGACTCATTCTATGCTTATTTCTTACAGAAGAGAAGATTATTCGAGGTTATAACGTTTTTCTCTTCTTTCTTTCATTAGTTCGCTTACATGAAACATAATCTTACTACATTCGAAGATGTTTCAGTCAAGAAGCGATATGAAAAAACAGAAATAATTTCATCGAAATAAAATTGAGAGAACAACTTACATTAGCTCAATATAAATTGCAGTTACTATTCATCATAGAGAATGATTGAACTAATCGATTAAAATTCATTCTCTTTTGTTTTTAAATACAAAAGAGAAGGCAAGCGATAGTAAAATTTACGACATTTAATAAGCTTTTCCTAATCGAAAAACAAAGTATAACATTCGACGTTCCTATATGCCATTACAATAATTACGATCGCTGTTGATACGTTGAAGTATTGTTTATCAAATGATATCTTCAAGAATTACAATACATAAATGTTTCTAAAATGCTCGAAATTTAAACTTGTCTTTGGTATCAATTTTTAGAGAATTATCGACTCATGAAATTTTTGCTTTATAAAAGTCTAATCATTTTCGACATTCATCAAATTGATTTTTTTCAGTTAAAAGTAGTCTTGTCGTTAACGCCCCATTTGGTTAGGAAACTTACATCATACGGAAAAAAATTCTGAATGAACATTTTCCTTCCAGTATTTGGCAGTCTCTATGAAGATACAAAATCGTACCATTTTGTATCAAAAAAACATTCTTGTTCTCACATAGTTCAAAAAACAAATTATCATTGTTTTTTGTTTCTTGAGGACGAATATCTAGATTGAAACTCTGCTTTCATCCTTACATGACTCTATTTGAATTATTAAAAAGGTATTTTCAATAATTTAATGTGTATTGATGGATTCAACGAGAAGATTAAATTGTGATAGTTGAAGATTTTTAAATATTATACATTCCTGCTTACAGATGCGTTCACAGAAATTTTTTTCAATAGACTCAATGAGAGTTTCAATGCAAACAGATTATTAGAAAATTTTCCTGTTGTTGAAAACTCTTGTTCACCACTATAATGTCTTCATTGTATTTGACATCTCGCTTCTGCGACATACGTGCTTTCTACTCAACGATTAAAATACTCCGTCATGATGTCGACTTTTCTCAGTCGTCATAAATAACACGTTTTTCATTGGATTCATTCACAAGATAATCTAACAAAAACCTAATCCTTTCTTTTTTTTATTCTATTTTTTGTATATGCAAAGCAGTCAGTTCAGTTGTACCTAAAGATGTGCAAGATCAAATGTATCCAGTTCCAGTCTCAGCAGCTTCTTTTTCAGAAGTATCAGTCGTAATCTCGGTATATACTCGATCTGGTTCCAATGATTCAACTTATTTGAAGCCTGATTCCAATCCAAAGAAAATGATTTCGAAATTTATTTATATTAAGTCTAAAGCGGTCTTCAATATATGTCGTAGGATAGATTGAAATCCAGTTCCGTTTTAAATCGAACTAGGACAGATTGAAATTTTAATTTTTCCTAGGTGGAATCAAAATTTTGAAGTTAACTAATTGACTTCGCAATGCAGTTTGATCTCAACTAGTTGAGATTAAAATGCATTTCGAAATCAACTAGTTGACTTCAAAATATTAATCTGAACTAGGAAAAATAAAAATTTCAATCTGTCCTAGCACGATTTAAAACTGAACTGGATTTCAATCTATCCTACGACATATACATTTTTCATCTATTCTACTGATCAATATGACTAATTTTGATCTTTTCTTCTGAGTTTGTTTTCATAAATGTGATTATTAAGATGATTCGCTCAAAACAAGAGAACATTTAATTGTAAAATTTCTTCTTGATTATGGTGAATCTTTGAATTTTGATCCTGCACATTTCTAATAAATGCAAATATTTCATTTCATAAAATTAAATTAATTCAAGTGATTTCCTTATTATCAAGCCGATTGTTTATTAATCAAAATAGTTTAGCTTCTATTCAGATACATATAATCGTTACAATTATGCTCATTTGTTTTTACCTGTTGTTGTTTATTATATACTTAAAGTCGAATGTGAGAATGTATCACAACTAAACCAATATTTAAAAAAAAACGACTTTTTACAAGTAGTAAACAAGCACAACACTAAACTGAAAAGAAAAGAAAACACAGAACTAATATTGGAATTATTATCAATTCAACACGAAAGACAAGACTAATCCACTGTTGTGTCAATATTACTTAATTCACGATCTCAAGTAAATTTGCAAAATTCTTCACAAAAAAAAGTAATAGACAATATTATCCATATAGATTAGGTTATCCATTAGTATCAGATGTTGTTGATAATAATACTACATCATTTTTTAATGAATCATGTACATTAGTTGGCGTTTCGGAAGACGTTAGGACATCTGAAGTAATAGTTTTATCTTTTTCGGAAGTTGATGCAACTAAACGAAATTTAATTAGATATTAAAATAGTAGAGAATAGATACCTGTAGCAGGACCTGATGCACCATTGTCAATAGAAGGAATTGAAGAATTATCTGTTGAAGATTTTGTTAGATTTTTAATTTTTGTTTGTAGATCTGATCGTTCTTGTTGTAAAGTCCGACATAATCTATCGAGTTTATCAAGTTTAATTTCCAATTGTCGTTTTTCTTTTTCCATTAATTTCATCTTAAATGAATTAAAACTATTTCAAAGAAAAAAAAATTTTCAATATCATACATCTTCATTCGATTTTCGTTGATTTTGTTCAGCAACATCCCATTGATGACGGAAATCGTTTCGTTCTTGTTCTAAAGTTTTTATTTTTTTTCCCATTTTTTCGATTTCTGTATGGCATGATGTTACCATTTGACTACTTTGTTGAATAGCATTTTGAAATTCTTGATAACGTTCAGTATAAACTTTCAATTGAGTATGAAGACGTAATTCCGATGCAGCTAATTCTTCACAGTTTTTATATAAAACTAATCGTTCAGCTTCGCTCTTTGATTCGACGGAAGCAAAAAAAAATTACTTTTTAATAAGAAAATAATTCAAAACATACCACTTGTCGTTCTTGTTTAATTAATTCTGTTCGTTCATTGAGTACTGAATGACTTTGTTCTAAACTGGCTTCAGTTAAACGTAATTCAAGTTCTTTTTTCTTTAATGCTGCTTCGAATTCCTGAAAGAATTTTTGGGAAATAAGAATCAAAAAACAAAATTTAAAATTTACTGTTTCTCGTAATTCATATTCTTTAGCAACCGATGCTAATTGTTCAGATAAGTGAAGATTTCGTTCACGTAATGATGTAGATTGTGTACTATAATTTGATAATTGTGAAGTAATTTCATCAATTGTTGTCTAAGAAAAATCAAGGATTTTGAAAAAAGTAAAAATCAACGAATAAATACTTGGAATTTTTTAGCTAATTCTTGACGTTTTGTTTCATCATCTTGTTGTCGTCGAGTACATTCATCCTTAAAAAAAACGTTTAACTAAAGAACAAAAGAGATTATTAATTGCAATTGTTTACTCGAATTTGTTGATTATGTCGATGAAGTTCTCGACAAAGACTTTCTAATTTCGATTTAGCAGCTGATGTACGATTATTTTCAAGTAATATTTGATCTCGTTCACGAATTAAAAATGTTGATCGTTTTTCTAATTCATTTATTTTCGCTTGTGTTAAACGATTTTGTTCTTGTAATTCGACTAATTTTGTTGCTAATATTAATAAATTTTTTTGTGGATCTGAATCAGTTAACGTCTCCATTAAATTAGCTAACGAAAAAAATTAATAAAAAAATATGAATTAATTAATTTAAACTTACTTGCTACTTCATTTATATTTCGATGTGGTTCTGATTCATTATTCGTATTCGATGAAGCACTACTATCATTGTTTGTTATTGATGAAATTTTATCATTCGTTTGTTTATTTTCTTTAGAATCAGCAGCTAGAATAAAGAATATTTTAATTGGAAAAATGTTTCATTAAATAATATACCAAATTTTTCTAATTTTTCAATAAGTTTAGCACCGATGGCTGTTTGTCCATGTGTTCGATTCGTTGTTGTTGGCGAAGATTCATCAATATTTGTATCTTTATTGGTAGTTGAAAGATTAGTGGTATCGATTATTTGTGTAGGTTTTTCATCAGTTGATATTTGATTTGAATCAAATGAAGTATTTTCATTTAATTCAGATTCAATATTTGAAGCCATTTGAAAATAAAAAATATCTCAAATCAATATAGATAATTGCACAACAGATCTTACTCAAAATAAAACTCAAAAAGAAGAGAATAATAAAAGTCATGGTTACATTTATCTTTTTCAATTCTCTTTGGTATTCATACGTTGTCGAATATCCAGTCAGTCATCGATTAAATGAAATCGATTGGAAAATATTGTTTGTTTAGAAAAAATAAACAAAGAATCTATTAATGTTAAACAACCAGTATTTTTCAATTGCTATTATAAAACTTTTCTTTGTTGATGCTACATATTATTGTATTATATGAAGAGATACATAGCATGCAATTGAGCGACCTCTGTTGTTAAAATTTTTATCGAAAATGAATGATATAATAAGAAAAACATATAGAACAGATTCTTACATCAAGTAAAAGTTTTTTTTTTCTAGACATTGGATTGATCAGTATTCCAATAAGGATGTTAAATTCGAATCCCATTCACCGAAGAAATTTTTGGTTGGACTTCTGCCTGTGGATATACTTCATTTTTTGGAAACAATGTTTAAACAAGAAAATCATTCAGAAAAAGTATTCAAGACAGTACAAGCGATAATTTTTATTTGACTATTTATTGAATTCTTCTTAAAAAATGAAATAATCATCGATAGACTGTCAATGAAAGTTTGGAAACACTGAAAAATTGAAGAGGACAATTCTTCTCTAATCGACTTTCTCTTGAAGAATCACCGGTGAGTTTCCTAAAAAATACGAAATCTCAGATGAGTCTTTAGGGAGTCATCAAACTAATCTCTAAAGAATTTATCAAAGTAGCGGAATCCATGAGAACTTTTGAATGACTCTTTGAGAAAGCTCTAGAGATTTCGTGATAGTCAAGGACCATGATTAAAGATAAAAACTCCTTAGGAGATTTATTGCAGGGTGCATAAATGGTATATTTTGGATTCGATATAAATTTGATTTTTTAACGTTTAAAGACAATTTGTCGATCCCAAAATGTACTCAATAGATAAAACCTATTTCGGGCTACATAATAACCATAAGAAAAAAAACAACAATCTCTGATCATAACAGGGAGAGTACTCTTAAATTATTGTCATCATATGCTTGAATCAATATTTCAGTGAGCTTTTCGAATTCAATTAGAATATGTTCAGTAGATTTTTTAATACATCATTTCACTTAGGGCTGCATTAATTTCAATTCTTAGCATTTGTTTATGTAAAATTAATTTATTTAGCACATATCTATATGAATTAAAAAATTCAGTACAAATCTCATGCTAACAATTGGAATTGAATTTGATGGGACTTGAAATCATTATGTTCCTAGTTTAAATTTATGTTGATTATTTTATGCTTGCTAATGAATATTTTTTTTGACAATCAATTATTGTTTCTATGTGTCAATGTTCTTCATCCATGGACAATCATTTTTATTATTGGTTTGCTTAATGCTAGCTTGACAAATTTCATCCATTTATTTTTTCAAGATTTGTTGATGCTCATCAAGGTGTTGTACAAAAAAAAGCTTGATAACATTCATTACATGTGAATATACTTGAACTCATTCTACACGTGATATATCACGATTTTTATGCTAATGGAGACATGTGAGTGTTTTTATATCATATTTTGTTTTGTACTACTATCCGAGATGGACAAAACGATGATTTTTAGACTCAAGTCAAGTCAACGTTCAACCCAATTTCCATCAAGTTTACTTTGATTGAAGACAAGCTGTCGAAAGAATTATTTTCTTGATCTATAGCATCTTTAGATTTCATTTTTTTTATTCACTATCAAGTATTAAGTCAAGTCAAAAATAACTTGACTTGTCCATATCTGAATACTATGAAAAACCAAAAAAGAAATTTTTTTTCCAGTCAGTTTGATCACAAAAAAAATAGCTTTTCTGATGTTATTATGTATATGTCAAGTGACAATTTGAATACAAAGAACATTGAGTCATAACGAATTAGTGGAGTAGTCCAAAAAAGATTGTAGAGGAGGGACGCAGAGTTGAAACCGGTCGAGAGTTTTTGAACTGATTCGATTCAGTTTCTTGAAAAGATATTTTAGATCGATGAAAACCGGCCGATTTGTTGGATCATTATGAATCAGTTAGTGGGAATGACTTCAAAAAATATTTATTTTCTTTTTTACATTCAGATTTTTATAAATCTCTGAGAACAACATATTATGTTATACTTATTTATATCTGTTAAGTTTCTCACAGATGAATATGTGATATTTCTTCACATAACACGAAAAAAAAAGTAATTTATCCATCAATTGATTGCTAAACTTCAAATCTTGAATTTTTTTACTCAGCCTTTTCAGACAAACCTGATGTTTCTCTTCGAACGACAATCCAAACCTAAATTTGATCTTCACCGATACATATATGAGAAAAGTTTAGTTCAAGTAACATAGTTTTGGATTGTGCTTTTTAAAAAATGAAATATACTTCGATTAAAGAAATAAAATAGTGTGGACGAACAAAAGAAAATAAAACTGATAGGTCTTGAAACAAAAATGTTTGATAAGAACAAGCAAACTCGCTTTCAACAAGTTTTATCCGAGAAAAATGGCGTATCTATAAAATATTTTCCAACCGATTACAACACTGGGGGATGGGGTTCAGTTTCCTGATCATGTCTGTATAGGGCATGGAGACCCTCTTGCAATGCTTCTAAAGAGAGTTTAAACTTCTTTAACTCAACCGTCAGTAAGAAGACTAAATTTCTTCTAGCTCTTGTCTGGTTACACCATTATGAAAAGTACTAAATAATTTAAAAATACTCTTTACAAGAGAATAAACTTGGTTAGATTTATCTTCAAATAATTGAGAAATAAAAAGAAGTTTATTTGAATGTTTGTATTTATAATTAATATATTCTAAATTAAATATCAGCAAATAAAACGTGGAGATTCATGTTACATACAAAAAAAGCAAACTATCATTCACTACTAGATTAAATAAAGATTATAATGATTGCTATTTATGTAGAACAGAAAAAAAAACGATCTGAAATAGTTTTATTCATTCGTTCATTTATTTATTGGTGAATTTGCTGGTTTTTTTGGTGCACGTTGTTGTTCAAAACGATTTTCCATTTCAATTAAAACTTGTGGTGAATATCGTACAACTAGTTTCACAGTACCTTGAGCTTGTTTAAGTAAATCCACAGCTTTTTCATGATATTCATTTTCAACAGAGACGCCATTTACTGATAATAATTGATCACCTTTTTTTAATCCAGCATGTTTCCAAGCAACACCATTTGGAATAATACGTGATATATAAATAGGAGAATTTTGTTCTCGACCACCCATTACATTAAATCCAAGGCCTTCAGCAGTTTTTGGTAATTCAATAACACGTGGATGAGAATGGCCTTCACTAGCAGCAAAGGCAGCAACCTAAATTTATTGAATATTTCAATAATTTAATTGAAAAAAAAAGATCTTATTTAATTTACAGTTGCTTTAGCAGTAGCATTAGCTCGAACTTCAGGTGAACCAGTTATTTGTACTGTTTCATAAATTTTTTCATAAACTTCAAGTACAGCATGAAAAAAATCACTTTGTAATATTCGTTGTAATTCACTTAATTTTGCTTCGGGAATTTCACTTGTCGTACGGAGACGATCAATTAAAACAATTGCTCGTTCAATATCTTTTCCTAAATTAAGTGATGATTCACCTGTTGTAGCTGACATTATCTGAAATATATAGATGAGTAAATCACAACTTTTTGATACGATTGAGATCCCAGTTGTATTTGACTTATAACTTCTGTTTCTGTCGACCGATTTGGATAATTTTTTTTTATATGTTAGTCTTGTAGAGGTGTTTCATATCTACACAAAATTTCACTTCTGAGTAACTTTCCTTTTCAGTAAAAAAAAAAGCGATTTTTTTCTAGGATTACAAGTTTTACTTACTTTGTAGAACGACATTTTGAAAATTTTATTATGAATAATTTTTGGATAACTCATTTGTTTCTCTTGAATTTTTACTGTAGATATAGCCTCTTAGAGTTATATAACTAGTCAAAAATGTAGCTATCTACCTCTGATCGTGCTTGAGAGATTGACACTATATGACAAAATGTAAAACGACTTTTTAAAAATTACTTCATGAATAACTCGTAAGAAGCTTGTTTGTTCTCGTTGCAGTTTTTACTAAAATTACATTTCTTAGAGTTGTATAAATAGTTAAATATTCAGCTTTGTATCTCTTTCTCTTATCGAGAATTTTACAAAATATAATGCAATGTCAAAAATACATTTTTCATTAAATTAACGCTTTTTATAGTACATTTACATTGAAGAAGTCGAATCTCAGCTAATACGTAGTAAAGTATAGGGAAACTTTTGCTGTGTAACATCGATATGGAATGTAATAAAATGCACTGTTCAGAAATTGTTTCGGTCTGCTTTCAATTTTTCATACCAATCGTACCAAAAAGTTGCAATTCACTCATATATTTAATAAAATAAAAGAAAGAAAAAAAAACAAAAAATCTAAATGCCATGAGTTTTAACCAAATAAAATAAGAAACATTATAGTTACGACATTAAATGCAATCAAAGGAACTAAATTAAAAGTTAATAGTTAATTAAATTAAATTAAATTATTTTTACTTCTCATCACAGTACGAACAGATCGAATTAATGTCAATAATTGTTGTTTAGCTCCTCCAGAATTTTGATAATCAACACCATATCCACCAACATTAGGATAATTTATATTAGCATTACCACTTACTACCATGATATTAGATGAAGAATATTCGGTAAAAATAGAAAGAATTTACTTACATTTTGAAAGAAATCGTTCACTAAGAATAGCTACTGCATTTATGCAAAGAAGAGCAGCTTCAATAAGATTGTATAATGTAAATCCCATTTTTCAATATTTTTGATTATCTAAATTTAAATCAGCAATATATCTTACAGATTTATTGGCTAGGAATTAAAGAGAATTAATTTGCCATTTAGAGGAAAGTGTTGCAAACAAAATGAAGTCTATATCTAATTTTAAAATCAAACATTCATTGTATCTAGTGCTTCATAGAACTATTAGAAGTATGTCGTAGAAACACGAAAATCTATTCGGATTGGAACACCTATACAAAATTGGGTGTTTTCTTTTTTTAATTTTCGGTAGTGATAGTTGAAAATTTTTAAAGTTTTTCTTTAAAATGACATACTTAGCAAGTAATAAATGCATCCTCAAATACTACTATTAGAAATTCTGTTATGCGAAACAAGCAAACGCTGTTCTTATATTTATATTTCAAGATAGAAGATACTAGATTGTTTGATACTTTCATGTTGAACTTTATTTATATAAAATTAAAACTTGAAAGTCAATTTGAAAAGTAGTTTGAAGAGAAACACAGTACTATGTTTAGAAACTAACTAAAACGACCATAACTAAAAAAGAATGATACATGAGCAGGAATACTTTTAGATTTTGCTTAGCCTTATAAAGGAAGTTCACTAATTGATTAATCGTATTTTTATTGAGGACCATATGCATCATGTGCATTCTTTTGAAGTATGAATTTCTTGAGAAAAACTCTAGCTCTTAGCTTATTGCTGCGAAGATACTTCAGCAATATGTTTTGTTAAATTAATGTCATGATCTCCTTGAAGAACACCAGAAAACTTAATTTTCGAATTTCGACTTGAAAACTTTCACACAGACAAGTTTCAAGAAATCAAGTCTTTTCATTTACTCCTATCTTGAAATAAGAACATCGAATCTACCAAGATATATTAGTGACGTAAGAAAAGACAAACTTTTATCATAGTCGTATCTTAGGATAGAAACAACAAAAAGATCTGAAACTATCACAATAAACTATTCTTATTAAGGCACTGTCTATGTGCAACGTTTCAAGTTAAAATTCAAAAATTAATTTGCTCAATGTTCCTGAGAGAAACCACGGTAATAGGTTACAAAATACCGTCTTACTGTAATATGTTTGCAGAAATAAGTTAAAAGTCTGAACTTTTTTTAGGGTAATCATAGCTCATTAGGTTCTAAACAAAATCTCTACGAAAACTTCAAGAGGATCTCGTCTATCCTACAAGATTTTACTTCTCTATGAATCATGTATATAATCTTCCATTTAACATACGATGCAAAAGATTTTTGTGCATAGTATAACATGTTTGAAATGTAATCAAAATTTGATCTATTAGCATTTTCATGTTGACTATTCATGACTTGAGATGATCTTTGATGTATTTTAAATATATTTTATTCACTTGAAAAAAAAGACTGTAATTTAATCTAAAAAACAAAAAAAAAACAGATTAAAATAAAAAATATATTTGGAAAATTAATTTGATTGATAAAAATATTATTGTCTTGTTAATGGAATATAAATAGAAGTTAAAATAAAATAGAAATAAATAAAAATTTACATGAAAAAAAAAACAAAACAAAACAAAAATAATTTGTCTTTAGTTACTGTTCTTGACTTTTGGATTAAATGCTGTTTTTACTAATTGTTCATATTTACTTAAATCAAAATTTTCTCTCTCATCAGATGAAAGACTTCGAGATTGCAATTGTAATAGATGTAAATAATCTTGTTCACTATATTCTTGTCCATGTTCTTCAATTATATGAAGAATATCTTCAGGTTTTATTGCATATAATAGTTCATAATATTGATGTGCACGCATTAATTCAGCATCACCAACAGTTCGAATTTGTGTTAATGTTTGTTCAATAGCAAATATATTTCGACATATTTTTGTTACACCTAATTCATTTATACGATTAAAACGTGGTGATGAACGTATTAATATTGTAGCTAAAACAAAACCAAGACCTTGAAATAAAAATGAAAATTTCTTTTCATTTAATGAAGAATTTAATGTTTCTTGTAAATGTGTTAAATCACGATTTAATGCCATGATATTTTCATCAAGATCTGTATCAATAGCATATGCATAATGAAAAGTATTACGAAAAAATAATGATAAATAATAAAAACAATGTAGACGAATTTCAAGAAATAAAACAAGTAATATATCATACGATAATGTTAATGTTGTTTTCATTGCATTAGAAAATATTTCTAAATTTATACGAGATAATTTTAATTGATCATAATGAGATGAATTTTGTTTTATTGAACGTGTAGTAAAACCAAGTTTGACTAAAATAAAATAAAACAAACAATGAATTATCTGTTCGAATCATTACTGCGAATGATTTAATAATACTGAAACACAACAAGTAGGACTTAATGAATCGCTCAAGTTTTACATTTCATATTTTCTTCACTTGATACATCTTATAAAAAAAAAAACATACTATAGGATGCAGCATGAAAAACTTATGGCATATTTGCTAGTATCCTGCCAAGAGCGATTTATTTCCCCATCCTGTCTCTCGTGGAAATCGGGAACGGAAATAATATTAAAAAATTGGCTTTTCCGAAAAATGATTTGTTTTTTTTTGTGTATATACTCTTCAAAGTTTGCTCTTTCAGACAAAAAAATGTCGAAGTCAGTCCGATATTACATTGTTGAGAAATACATTTCGACATTCTCCGGAAGGCTTTTGCATTGCTTATTAATTAAAAGAAAAACAACAAATACGTATAAACAAAAATTAGATAAGTTCATTCATTTAATTGGAATTCAATTATTACAATTATTATTTCCTTTGTGATTATCATCTTCCATAGACCTATTATTCAGATTATCTCACAATGTATCATTATTATTATTATTATTATCTTATCTTCGTAAATGTTTTCATTTTTTCACCGATATTATTAATGTGCTAGCAGTTTTTTCTCTTTCCAATTGATGAAGGAAATAATTCTCTTAAGTTAACATTGATAAAATTTCGATATATAAATAATAATTCATTTATTTTTAATTTAAGGTTATCTCACATTGTGCAAAGTGTGACGTTGACAGAAACTAGCGTTTAGTAAATCGTTCCTGCAGGACACTAATATATACACACCTTTTGCTTTCATAATGGATGAAATTCGATTCAATCAATTTTTGATGGTCCAAACATGAGCATTTTTTTTTGGCTAAATGATCAATTCGTTTTTTTTATATCATCGATTATAGAAAATTCAATTCATTGATAAAAAAAAAACAACTTTCCATTAGAACGTGTTTATACTGCGAATTGACAAGACTTAGACAACATTGATTGATGAAGTAAGAAAAAAGAATTTCATGCGTACTAAGAAAAATGAGCTGGTTCGTAGTGCCAAAAACTGCTCGAACAAGATTTCGCCCATTTCAAAAACAAAACATGCGTATATTAAATAGGCTTTTTGTTTATAAATTGTAAAGCTTTATACGTTGCATATTGTGATAGATATTTTTTTAAATAAAATGTATTAGGTTATGAAAACATGAAATACAAGATGCAACAATTGATTATACCGCACCCATTATTAATTTATCGAGCAATTCAATCTATTGTTATTCTATCTGTATTGAAATAAATGAAACAACAACTTATGAAATTTTTATATGTATTTTAATATCAAATCCATGAGAAGAAAGTAATGAGAGGTAAAAGAAAAACAGTATATGCATGTTTCTATATTTGTATTCTGTGTCTTAAATCTAGTAAATCTCAAAAACTAAGTTCTGCTAGTTTTCGAAAGATTATGTACAATGATGCAAAGTTTTTGATATCTACTTCAATAATAGTTGTTAAACAGTTGAATTTATTTTCATTAATCGGAATTAGCTATGAATGGTGTTGGGCTTTATTAGTCCCGCTCAAGTTGTACGAGAGAATATATCCAGTTAACACTATCTTTAAACTATAAGAAGATCTCAATGAGTTACCACAAAAAGCTGCAAAAGATTCATTCTAGGTCAGACTTTTGTTCCTAAGATATCGAATTTTTTTCATAGATATTCAATATTTCAAGTAAAATCGTGTTTTTGAATTTTTAACTGAAACTTCGCTCATAGAGAAATGTGTCAAGTAGGTTAGACTATGTGCATTATTTTGAAGTTTTTAAATGTTGTCTTAACGAGATATATGTTATGGCCGAAGTTGGAATTCAGCCCAATTCCGAATTCGTCCAGCCGAAATTGGAATTCTAACTTCGTCTGGACTAAAGTGGAATTCCAAGTTCGACTAAACTGATTATGGACGAGATTAGAATTCTAATTTCGACTAGACGAAATTAGAATTATTTTTTAATGAGTATTAAGCGGTAAAAGATGTATTAAAAACATTGATGAATTTGTTTTTGACCGTGAGAGCGAAAAGAGCTAATGCATGCTGTTCTACCAAATGTCACTCAGAGAGAAGTACCTGTTGTAACATCGAGTAACTACTTCCCCCCCCCCCCCCTCAAATAAGAAGGCGTAGTCTTCTCTTCTGAAAATTTATATCGTTTTTCCAACGGTGACCGTCTAATATGAACTTACGTTTTTATTAAAAGCTTGTTGTAAAATCAAGGATTTTAGGATAAACTTCTAGTCTCTAAAGGGACAAATTTCATATTCAAGTGCTATAAAATTCGCTGAATCTGAGAGAAAGTAGTGTTTTTAATAATGAACACTTAGCTTTTTACTCAAAAACTATTCTTCTAAATGCTAAAACCTCAAAGCTATCTCGGATTTATGAAAACCTTTTTGAAAAATTCGTGATCTTCTTTTATGTCGAGCGAAACATTGAGGTAGGTGTGGCCTTTTATTTTAGGCTGGCGTTCTAACTTGGGAAGAGTTACATTAACTTCGACTTTGTGGTATTTGTTAATTTGTTTTTGTAAAATTTAAAAAATTGATTTTTAATTCTCTTTTTTTCCTATGAATTTCTAATCATTAAACAATAATTCTAATTTCGTCTAGTCGAAATTAGAATTCTAATTTCGTCCATAGTCAGTTTAG